ATCAAATTAGCTTCCAAAATGAGCTCAACAGCTGCAAGCTCAGCATCTGGCTCAACATCACTTTCTGCAGAGATGCAAGTTAGCAGGAGCTTTGGTGTGAGAACATGTCCCCTCTCCCCGTCCCCAAGGAAGAGCCTTAGCATATATTTTCTGACCAAATACAATTCTCTTTTTAGATTTTTTTTTATTTGAAAGGGTTAGAAAGAGGAGTGGAGAGAGGGAGAGAGCGCTAGAGAAAGATCTTTCATCTGCAGGTGGTGGTTCCCTTGGACCCATCCCAGCCATGTGGGAGCCTTGGGCTTTGGGCTCCCGCCTGGCTAGCCCTAGACTTTTGTACACATTTAAGAAGTAAGGTGGAAGATGGAGGCTCTGTCAACCTGTGTCTCCCTGCCTCTGCTGAAGTAACTTTTTTTTTAAAGTTTACCAAACCAGTAATCAGAGGAATTCTTAATTCCATAAGGAGCATTTACAAACATATAACTGGCCAATGCTACACAGTTAATAGTGAACACATTATCCCTTGATAATTTTTTTTGACAATCCTTACATATTTAATCAGGGTAAAAAAGGTTCAAGGGCTACAGGGAAGTGGGCAAGGCCATCACTTCCATACCACTCCCTTCATGTATCTGAGGTAAAGGGGGATATAGAGGAAGAAGCCCCACCCAGTTTCCTACCCACCCTATCCCTTGATAATTAACCACAAGGCAATGGGGGCTGGTGTTATGGTACAGTGGGTAAAGCTGCCATCTGCAATACCAGTACCCCATACATCCCACAAGGACACTGGTTCGAGTCCTGAATGCTCCATTTTTTTTCTTTAAGATTTTTATGTCAGATATACAGAGAGGAGGAGAAACAGAGAGGAAGATCTTCCATCCGATGATTCACTCCCCAAGTGAGTGCAACGGCCGATGCTATGCCAATCCGAAGCCAGGATCCAGGAACTTCTTCCGGGTATCCCACATGGGTTCAGGGCCCCAAAGCTTTGGGCCATCCTCGACTGCTTTCCCGGGCCACAAGCAGGGAGCTGGATGGGAAGTGGAGCTGCCGGGATTAGAACTGGCGCCGATATGGGATCCCAGGATGTTCAAGGCAAGGACTTTAGCCACTAGGCCACGCCGCCGGGCCCAGCTCCACTTTTGATCCAGCCCCCTGATAATATACCTGGGAAAGTAGTGGAAGATGACCAAAGTGATTGGGCATCTGTCACTCACATGGGAGATCCAGAAGAAGCTCCTGGCTCTGGATCAAGTCAACTCAAGCCTTTGTGGCCATTTGGGGAGTGGACCAGGTGATGGAAGATCTCTCTCTCTCTCTCTTTCTACAATTCTGACTTTCAAATAAATAAGTAAATCTGTAGAAACAATAAGGCAACAGTGCCACAGTTCACTTAAGCACAAGAAGAAACAGAAATAAAAGTCACAAAGCTTGTGAAAGAGGAAACGGTTGTCATTATTTTTCTGTGGAAAATCATGAAGAATCTATAAGTAAATTATTTGAATGGATGAATGATAAAGTTTAGCAAGTTTTCAGAATGTAAAACTACACAGTTACTGCACTTCTGCATACCAACAGCAATTGGTAAGAAAATGATATTCACAATGGCAATAAAATATATGAAGTACTTTGCATCATATCAAACAAAAATTGTATCAGCCATTCGTGGAGAAAATTATAAACCTCTACTGAGTCGCATTTAAAAAGACCTAATAAGTTGATATTTTAAAAAAGATTTATTTATTTTTGTTGGAAAGGCAGAGTTGCACAGAGAAGGAGAGACAGAGAGAGAGAGAGAGATCTTCCATCCATTGATTCTCTCCATAAATGGTTGCAACAACTAGAGTCGAGCCTATCTGAAGCTAGGAGCTTCATCCAGGTCTCCCATGTGGGTGCAGGGGCCCACGGACCTGGACCATCCCTTCCTGCTTTCTCAGGCCATAGACAGGGGCCTGGACTGGAAGTGGAGCAGCTGGAACACAAATAGGAGACCACATGGGATGCCAGGGGCACAGGTGGAGGATTAGCCCACTATGCCACCACAGCAGCCTCATAACCTGATCTTTATATTTTGATACTGGAAGCAATATCAAGTTTGTCACCTCACTTATCTGAGCTAAGATTTAATATGCTTCCTATTAAATCCAACGGGGCTTTTTATGGAGCTTGGCAATGTGGAAAAGCAGAGGGACAAAACTGCCCAAGGCATCCTTGAGGAAGACAAAGAAATTATGCTGAATTAAAGATTTGCTCTGTTGGGCTGGCATGATGGCTCAGCTGTCTAATCTTCTGCCTGCAAATGCTGGCATTCCATATGGGTTTCAGTTTGTGTCCTGGCTTCTCCACATCATATCCAGCTCCCTGCTTATGGCCTGAGAAAGCAGTGGAAGATGGCCCCAAGCCTTGAGACCCTGCACTCATTTGGGAGACCCAGAAGAAGCCCTGGGTCCTGGCTTTGGATCAGCTCAGCTCTGGTTGTTGTGGCCACTTGGGGAGTGAGCTAGTGGATCAAAGATCTTTCTCACTGTCTTTTCCCTGTGTTTCCCTCTCTCTGCAAATTGGCCTTGCCAATAAAAGTAAATAAATCTGCTTTAAAAAAGAATTTGATTTGTTAAGTGACATGATCAAGAAAGTGAAATCAGTCTAAAAGTAGGCAAAAATATATTAAATAATCAACACAACCATATAAATGACACAAAGGGACCTTATACAGGCCCTATCACAAACTGCCCAGGATCACGTGAAAAGGTGCAGTGTTATTAGTTAGAGAAGGGTAAATTGAAGCCATGGGAAGCTCTGCAGCATGCCACCGGGAGGGCCATGGTGCCAAAATGTCATAGAGCTGTGGGGCCAGAGGAGGTTGCCAGCAGAGCTGGCTGGTGTTGGCTTACAAAGCTAACGACCACCTTAGCCACATCTGGGTATCCTCCATCAGCGTTAGGGCTGAGATCCACAGAACTTCTGCAGTGAGGTGCCACACAAGGTCTCCAGTATCGTTCAGAAACAATTTAAATATCAGCTGGGGCTGGCAATGTGGTGCAGTTAGGTAAATCTCTGCTTGCAGTGTTGGCATCTCAAACGGGTGCCCATTTGTGTCCTAGCTACTGCACTTCTGATCCACTTCTGATCCAATTCCATGCTGATGTGCCTGGGAAAGTAGCACAAGATGGCCCAAGTTCTGGGACCTCTACATCCTAGTGGGAGACTAGGATGAGGCTCCTGGCTCCTGGCTTCAGCTTGGCCCAGCATTGGCTATTGTGGCCATGTGGGAAGTGAACCCACATGGTTCCAGAGGATGGAAAATATGTTTCTCTCTTTAACTCTGACTTTTCACATAAATAATTCTCAAAATAAAATAAAATAAATCAACAGAAAAATACAGGAAGTGATTGTGACATGTTACAAAATGGAATTCTATAGGGCTGAAAAGACAAATGAACTGGAGTTGCCAGGCCAGCAGTGATGGCTCTTACAAACTCTATGCCAAAAACAATGTTGGCTTTTTGACTTGACACAAAAGTGGTCAAAACAAACTAATAATCCACAGGTGCACATCTTACTTTTTTTTCTTTTTAGAAAGACTTATTATATATTTCAAAGACAGTAGAGAAAGAGAGAGACAGAGGGAGAATCTCCCATTTATTTATTCACTCCCCAAATGGCTGCAATGACTGCAGATGGAGCCATAACCTGGAACCCCATCTGGGTCTCCCAGCTGGGTGCAGGAACCCCAGGACTTGGACCATCCTCTGTTGCTTTCCCAGGTGCTTCAGCAGGGAGTTGGATTGGAAATGGAGCTGCCACAACTTGAATCGGCACTCATAATGGGATGCTAGCATTGTGAGTGATGGTTTAACTCACTAAGTCACAACACTGGCCCTGTGTGTACATCTTTGTGTGTATGTGTGTGTGTGGGTGAGTGGGTGTGCGTACATGAACCCAGCCAGCACCTGTACTACTACGGGAAGCTCTGGCGGGATGCAGTCTTCTGTTGGTACGCATGCAATTGTTGGCTGCTTTCTCACACCAGGGTGGAGCTAGGCACTTGTGACAAAGGCTCCATCTGCCCCCTGGATAGGGAAAGTTTTCTGCCTCTGTCTTCACACAAAACTTGATAAATTCAAATCTCAGGATAGCAGATACCTCCCAAGAGACATAAGGGGTGTGGCCAGAGGGGGCTGCCAAAGTCAGCAGCGAGGAGTTCCCTTTTCAACATGGGCAGTAGGCCAATAGTTTTTGTTGTCCTCCCTTAAAGCACGCGTTCTTCCAGCTTCCATGATGGATTCCATTTCAACATTTCCTTAGGAGGGGCAGAGAGGCTGAGTCTGAGTTTGGCTGTCACCTTGTGGACATGGAGGACGCGGAAACCCTGCCAGTTGATATCCTCCACCCCATCTAGTACTAACTCCAGCGTTCTTTTGTCATCTTGCCGGGACATTCTCAGCCTTGCTAAGCAGCAGGCTGCACCCAGAAGAGGCTTCCCACTCTAAAATCCTATGCCTTCCTAGGTATAGGATAAAATTTATCACCGTTTGAGAAAACTCAGGTCCTCCCATCTTAACGACATGTTTGTGTGGCAATTCCCTTACCAGCGACCTTTAATAAATGCTCACTTGCCTTCTGCTTGACTGTGTGTGGGGAGGAAAAAGTCGGGGATCATGAACCAGGCTGGCCTGGTGACGGCGGGGGTTCCCACAAGAGCTTATCCCAAGAAATTCTACTCTTAAAGCTCCCTCTTCTTCAGTTCCTGACCATCACCACTCGGTGGATGAGAGCATGTGGAGGCTCTGCGTGGTTGCCTCTAGGGTCTAGGTGCCTGGGGTGGATGCATCTGAGGCCAAGCACTTCCCCGCGTGACCCCAACCCCTGTAGCCACTCGGCATCCCCCTCAGAACTGAATCCTTGCCTCTCCTGCTTCTCCCGGTCAACCCCCACTTTGCTGTCTCACGCATCTGACTTGACCATTCCCTGAGTCCCACAAATGGCAAGGTGCGACTCACCTGTAGAGATCCGTGATCTTTTCGTTCTCATAGCGAACGCACAGGTTGTTGAGCACCTGCTCGTGCTGGCCGAACAGGCGGATGTAGTTGGAGGTGGGGAACGGCATCTTAGAGAGGCACGTGATGCTCTCCACCAGCCTGTACTTGTTAATATGGATCCGGAAATACGTCCCGTTTTCCACTGAACCGGTGACTATTTCCAAACCCTGGGGTAGAGTCAGGGAGGGAGGGAGGGAAGCAGATCAGAAAACAGCATTGGAAACACTGCTAGACCTTGGAAGCTCTCATAGCAACCGATTTCCCAGACAGAACAGATATCTCATGGCTCATTGCAAAGAGCCACGGCCATGGACCAACTCAATGGAAGACAGCCACACTCGGGGGGCGGTGGGCACCGCACACTCAGACTTAACTGCTCCTGGGGGTATTTTTCAACCATGATTGCACGGTTCTGTGTTTCTGAATTAGTTGCTAGGTTACAGCCAATTCTCTGTGACTCAATGCCTCGCTCTGCTGCTAAGTGGAGCTAGATTTGCTCTTTTCTAAGGTGTCTTAAGACTCTATCTTGCTGTCCCTCTCTCTGCCCTCAGCACTAGTGTGGAGAACTTGCTGGTCCAAAAGTGATGTGGAAGGGTTTGAGCTATTTAACAGAGTAGCTTCAGAAAAGCTAGCAAAGGGAGAGGTTTGGTGTGGGATAAGGGGAAAGGCTCAAGTCTGTGGGAAACACATACCTACACACATGTGTGCACACCCATATGCACATATACACCCACACACACAATGCAGATGAATGTTTAGTTCACAAACTGTTAAAGGTGTGGGTTAGTGGCCTGATGCCCGTTAGAAATCTGGTCAATTGCCCCCAGGAACTCGGATGATAAGGGAAGCTGCTGTTCTAATTCCAGGTCACGGCTGCTTTTCCCAGCTCAGCTCCTGACGGCTCCTGACTACTACAGCCTGGGGACCTGTGCCCCGCTCTCCAATGGCTTGGACAGCACAAATGCTCTGTGGATAGATGTGGACTTGCTTGCTGGGGGTGGCCACACCTTCCTCCATGACTCTGAATTTGGTACACAATAACTTGCAGTCTTTCTGTATGTATTTATTTATTTGGTGCACACCGATTTAAGCTTTGTGAAGGTGGTATTTAGGCACCCACGACAAGCTGGACTGCACTGACCCCAAACATTAACTTAGTTCTGGACATCACCTGGGGGCTTTGTCTAAGCTAGAAGATGCTGTTTCGCTTTCTAAATAAACTAAGGTAACCAGTGGGTATCATGGGGCAAAGTCCTGATGATTGAGATAGAGAAGGAAGAGGCGAGATACTCAGGAGGTCTGGCACCAATCCAAGGGCATGTGGGAGTCTGGTGTTTGGGGGTGTGTGTACAGATAAAGTACAACTCCCAAAATGGCTGGGGAGGATATCTCAAGGGGGATCCCAGTGGCCCGTCATTTCTAGAGATGAGTGGGTCCAGACAAGAAACCAGTATATACAGCTAAGGGCTCAGGAACAGGTGTTTATCTGCCAACAGAATGGTCTGCAAGGCATCTGATAACATCAACCAATGAAATACAATGCGTAAAAGGGCAATGGGTTGACAGCCCATGCTGTATTATAGAAAGAGCTACACAAATTGTATTGGTTCCTTATACCATTAAAAAAATTACTGTCAAATATAAAGGAGGAGAGATAGAGAGGAAGAGCTTCCCTCCATTGATTCACTCCCCAACAGCTGGAGCTGAGTCGATCCGAAGCCAGGAACCCAGAGCTTCTTCTGGGTCTCCCACACAGGTGCAGGGTCCCAAGGCTTTGGGCCGTCCTCGACTGCTTTCCCGGGCCACAGGCAGGGAGCTGGACGGGAAGGGGGGCTGCAGGGATAGAACCGGCGCCCATATGGGATCCTGGGCGTGCAAGGTGAGAACCTTAACCACTTGCGCCACCGCGCTGGGCCCTAAATTTATTTTTTAATTCCTATTTTTCCGTGAGGCTTTTTGAAGGCTCCTTAGAGAAAGAAATTGTTATGAATCTGCGACTTGAATTTAAGATTTTGATAGAGTAATGCTATCTGGCACAGTTCTTCTTCTTCTTCTTCTTTTTTCTGCCTGAATACAATTATCCCTCTTCAGTTCCTTTATCATTTTTGACAAAGGTTGGATGATGACTCTGAGACTCATGCCAAATGGAAGACGCGGAGACTAATCAGACTTGGTATTCACAAAATCCAGTTTCCCAGCTCTGGTGGAGAACACAGAATTGTAGCTTTTGTGGCATCCAAGGCAGAATTTGTTGTGACAAATTTCTTTATTCTGTGGTGTGGAAGCCAGCTAAGCATGTGGACCGGAATTTGTAAACTGGTTTATTATGAAGCCAACTTGGGGGTCCCCTTTCCTTCTCTCGTCAGGTTACCTCTCGGAGAGCTCCTGAGCAACGGGACAATCTTCTGACCTGAGTGCTGCTGTGAGGGTGTCTGATTAAGCTTCATCTTGGCTTGCATGTATTATAAGAACAGGATTCCCTAGACCTGAGGAAATGCTACTCAGGGGGCGCCATTCTCAATCCGTTGGCCATGTCCAGGTCGTGTCAATTATTGCCTGACTATTTTGGCAACAATTTTACTTAATCAAATTAATTCCAACCCTAAAACATTGCCATGCAACCATGCTTCTCTTTCCAACCCGCCCCTCCACCCTCTTTGAATAATAAAAAAGGAGGAAAAAAAATCTGTTTCAATCTTCTGTACTAATTAAGAAGGAGGCCCACCTGGCAGAATGGTTAATTAAAGTCAGGGGTCCTGTTCAAATGCTGTCATGGCCTCCGCCAGACTGTTTCAGCTGTGCTCGCAGCAAGACTCAGTAGCTTGTAGCCCCCCTCTCGTTCCTCCTCTGTCTTTACTGAGGGAGGCAGCAAGGCGGTTTACAGAGGGAAAAGCACGCAGCATCCTTAAAGAAGGATCTGGTTCTGCCTGAAGCCACGTCCCGTGCTTCCCAGCCCTTACACATCTATGACTCAAGTTCCTGGCCTACCCTCCATGACTCAGCCTCAGGAACCTCTGGCCCCACCCCTCACCTCTGATGCCTCCGTGGGCGGCCAACTGGATTTTCCCCCCAGTGTCCTCAACTGTGTCTCCCATCCGTGGTGGCCCTACCCTACCTTTTGCCATATGACCTTGACCCCCATTCCACTGCAGGGTGGATTTCTTGGGTCCCTTGCCTTGGGTGTCTGTGGACTGCGACTGTTCCCGTGGAAGATGCTGTGTGTCTCCCAAGACTGGGTCATTCGAGGTCAGACAGCTCCCAGCTTGCTGTTGAGGGCACTTTTATCATGTCTGATGGCTGAGGCCACCAGCCCCGGGGGAAGCCCAGGTTGGGGTGTCAGACTCAGCCTCCAGTGGTGAATGGACTAGCTTTCATGTGACCTGCATCATGGATCTGGGCGTGTCTTCTCACTGCAGGCTCTGGACATGGTGGAACAGAGACAAAGGATTCCTACTGTTCCCTGTCCAAATTCCCAACTCTTGGAATCTGTGAGAAGAATCCATTTGCTGCTGTTATGTGCCACTAAGTGATGTAAATGACAATAGAAATTGGAACAGTGGGCACAGCGTGGTAACCTAGCAGCTAAAGTCCTTGCCTTGCACATGCCAGGATCCCATATGGGCACCGGTTTAATCTTAACAGCCCTGCTTCCCATCCAGCTCCCTGCTTGTGGCCTGGGAAAGCAGCCGAGGATGGTCTTGGGACCCTGCACCCGCGTGGGATATCCGGAAGAAGTTCCTGGATCCTGGCTTCGGATTGGCATAGCATCAGCCGTTGCGCTTACTTGGGGAGTGAATCATTGGATGGAAGATCTTCCTCTCTGTCTGTCCTCCTCTCTGTATATCTGACTTTCCAATAAATAAATAAATCTTTAAAAAAATAAAAAATATATTTATTTTCATTTTACTAGGGAGGTAGAGAGACACAAAGCAATGGAGACAGAGTGCCCTTTCCCTAATGGTCATGACAGCCAAGGCTGGGCCAGCTTCGAACAAGGAGCTGGACCACAATCCATGTCTCCCTCGTGGGTGGCAGGGCTCTAACTACAGGAGCCATCACCGGCTGCCTGCCGCAGTGTGCACTAGCAGGTGCTGGGGTCAGGAGATGGACCGGGACTCCAAGCCAGGCCCTCCAATGTGGGATGTGGGTGACCCCAAATGTCCTATTGGAAATAGGTTTACTAACGACGCCCACCACTGGCTGGCCGCCTGTCTTGCTCCAATGTTATTTCCTAACCTCAGAGATACCGAGGGATTGAATGTCTTGTTCAAGACTCATGGGGAGTGGATGGAGGAGCTGGGATGCTAATTTCCCGATGGGGGTTGAAGGAGAGGTCAATCATCTGTGCCACTGTGAGTCCTTCCTGCCTCCAGGAATCTTCCAGTGGCTTCTGTTTACACCTCACAGGCAGCACCCTGCGCCACGGCTGACAGTATCCTTATGGAAGGCTGGGAAGTACATTTAGTTTAGATTGGTCAGGTCTTAACTCTTAAAAATATTCAAGAAAATGAGAACAGAAATGAAGCAGGCAATGTTCAGTGTCTGCCTAAGAAGTCCCCATGACACATTGACAGGAAGCTCCTGGAGCACGAGAGCTGTCAGAGACGCTCCTTCCGAGAGGCCTGACCTGCCACCCAGGGGCAGTCCTGGCCCACAGCTTCTGCTTTCATCTGAGTGGTCCCGAATGGTGTGATTCAGGAAGGAGAGGAAAACAGTGGATGCCGCACAGCCATTCCATATCTAAGAAATCAACGTGCTCCACCATCACAGAAGTGGCTTTTTTTTTTTTTTTCGGTAACGTGTAGAGGCATTGTAAGTCACCTCAAAAATTCAGTGCTTAATTTTCCTGAGCAGAACAGAGGAGTAAATGGTGGTGCATCCAGACAATGGGATATTGGTCTAAGTATCTTTTCACTCTGTTTCTGATCCAGCTTTCTGTGAATGAGCCTGGAAAAACAGCAGAAGACGGACATCTACTGCCCAGAGGGCAAGACTGGCTCCCAGCTTCTGCCTGGCCAAGACCTGGCAGGGAACAGGTATTTGCAGATTGAACCAGCAGGTGCAAGATCTTTCTCTCCTCCTCCATCTCTCCCTGCCACATTTTCTTTCCAATCAATGAATTAATTAAAGAGAAGAGATGAAAGGGGTGGGAGTTACCTCGGACTCTGATATCTACCACAGGGAGCTTCTGATGTGCGAACCGATCCATTACAGTATATTCAGTAAAGAATTTAGCCTTCCTATACACAAAGTCACTAACGTTTGGAAGTAACGTGAAATTCAGGGCTAATACTTACAAAATCAGACTGTGCCATTTGGACCTCCAAGGGAGTTGGAATGGCGGGTTTGGCAACGTGCAGATAATGGTAGGAGCCGGGAAGAATGCCTCCTAGGGGAGATGACAAGGTTTCCATATGTGAAATGAAGAAGTGGGTGGGAGAAACCTGTATCTCCATCACAGCACAGACAGACATGTCCACAACGGTCCTCACAATTCCCCACTAGAGCTCTGCTAGCAGCAAGCAGTTCTCTGGGATCACTGGGCTTGTTTAGTTAAAACAATATGACTGCGATGGTCTACCCTGTACCATATCCACTAATGCTCTGGGATGTGCCGTGCTGGCCCTGTGTGCTCTGTGATTCCTCCAAACTCCTCATACCCTGACCTGTACCTGCTGAAGCTGGATCAAGACCTCGGAATCCTTGAAAGGTGGCAATGCTGTTCCCATCCCCTCACTGACAGGGCAGGGCTGGATTCCGGCCAGAGCTGGAAACCATAAGCCCTCTGCCTGATGGACTCCTCTATGCCTGCCTGTCAGTCAACAGCACCTTCCCAGGATGTAGCTCCCTTCACCTGGGATCTGAGACGGGAGGTGCCATGTAGCCACTCCTCCCCCTCCATCCTTATAAAACTGGTTGGCAACTGGGAGTTCTCTAGTCAGCGACCCGGAAGACAAGAGCCACTGAAGGATGCCATCTCTCTACTTCCCTTCCCCAGCCTCTTCACTCCCTTGAGCTCACTGCATGTCTCAGCTATGCTCGCGTGTGTGTGCATGTACGTGTGCACGTATGTGCTTTCTCACCTGCTAAATAAACTGTCACTTGGGGTATTATATATGTGCCTGTACTTGTAATGCTTCTCTAAGTAAAAGGCAAAGGATCTGGAATCAAATTAAGTCCTGCCTCTCCCACTCTGCTATCCATCTTCCAACATGTAGCCAAAAACATTTTCAAAAAATTAAACTTTACAAGGGGAAAAAAAATGAATAAAGTTTTCCTCCTAGTGCTTTGGAAATTGCTTGTTATCAAATTGTCATGTTTTTTTTTTTTTTCAGTGCTTCTCTGGAGTCTGCTCTCCAACCTGTCCCCTTTTGCTGGCTTGGAGCCAGTGTGCCTCCTGAGGTTCACCCAGAAGGAGCCTGGAGTCTTGTTCAGCCTGTTCTTGTGTTTGCTGTCCTATGGGCCACACATGCCACAGGGGTCTACGGGAGGTAGCATCCGGGCTTGCTTCATGGGTGCCCTGAGATGGTGCATGTCATAGAAATGTGTCCACTTTTCTGGGAGAAGGTCTCCACTATTCAGAGATGCTGCTCACCCCAAACACGAAGCAACCCTGCGCTGTATGAATGGAAGTGTCCCCTTAGGGGTTCACAAGGCTTAGGGTTTAGAAAGGAACTGCTTTTACAAACAAAAGTGGTTGAGTTTGTCCATCCGGAGAGCAGGATGAGGCCGGGGAGGCCTGAAAGGGTCTCCTTCTATTCAAATGAACAGGGAGAAAGGATCTGTACAAAAGGCTTGAAGCACCGTCACAATTACTACTGGCAGGCCTTCCAGAAAGTCACTGGTTGCCTCCTGATCCGCGGCCTACAGACTACAGTTACGATGTGGTACATGAAAAAGTCCTCAAAAGACCAAGGTCCTGGCCCTGCCTGATAGCCTAGCGGCTGGATTATCTCGCCTTGCATGCACAGGGATCCCACATGGGCCTGCTTCTTGTCCTGGCTGCTCCACTTCCCTTCCATCTTCCTGTCTGTGGCCTGCAAAGGCAATGAAGGATGGCCCAAAGCTTTGGGACCCTGCATCCATGTGGGGGACCCAGAGGAAGCTCCTGGCTTTGGATCATTTCCGTTTCAGCCATTGCGGCCACTTGGGGATTGAACCAGTGGACAGAAATTTTTGTTGGTTTCTCCTTCCCTTTGTAATTCTGCCTTTCCAATAAAAATAAATAAATCTTTAGAAAAAGAAAAGTCCAAAGTCCACAGAAATTGCAATAACTAGCAAGGCAAGGGTCATCATAAATGCTTTAGAGATGAGATAGCTACGCCTCTGCGGTAGTCTGCCAGGGGACTGGGGACTCTTCACAGAGGCTTTTCTGAATCCTGGCCTAGACAGAAGATGGCCACACACAGACACATACCTTTGATCTTGGCTCCTTTGTACATGGGGATGAGTCGGTCAAGATCAGCAGGTGGCTCAGTCACAGGCTCAAGGGTTGGATCAAAGAGGTTGAGCATGGCCGCGGCCAGCTGAAAGCCGATTTCTTTGGAGCTGAAGTTGCTGTGAGTCCACTCATTGGAATAATATCTATTGGAGAATTTGGTGAGGGGGCCAGCAGCTCTGATGGCAATGTCGTTGGTGTGGAAGTTGGTATCGATCACCAGTCGGCCATCATAGACCAGACAGGCATCATTGAGTGCTTTAAAGGTTTCGTAATCCACGTTCTTCTCACCAAAGCTGAAGAACATCTAGAAAGCAAGCAGCCTCATTGTTACTCCTCACCGCCCTTCAATTCACCTTCCCAAGTCTGTGAAGATTCTCTAGGGAGTGTGTGTGTGTGTGTGTGTGTGTGTGTGTGTGTGTGAAAGAGAGAGATTGTACTTGGCGTTATGAACAGGTTTGGATCACTCAATGACATTTTATGTAATCCCTCCGTTGACAGCCAATGGTGTAATATTTTTTCCCTGTAAGAAGGTTTACATTTCCAGACCTCCACTTTCCTTATTCTCCCATGTTTCAAATAAATGTAGCTCAACCTTCTTCTATCTGTTCTGACACTTAATCATCTTCTTAGTATTATTTCTTCTATATCTTCTTAGTTATCTCATCCAGAGTTCTCCTTATTGCCTCACTCCTGGTCTTTCTGACTCAGCAGGTGGGTCTCTGTGGGGTGCTCCAGGAAGGATGTGCGAGTCACAGCAGCCTCCAAAGGCCAGGTCAGGACTCTTGCCTTGCTGCTCCCTGCTCTGCCTGAACTGGCAGTGGCCACCTAGCACCAACAGGGAAGCATAATTTTGCAAAGCCTCTTTCTCTCTCAGTCTCCTTACACCCTTGCCCCTCTCCCTAGGTGTATGTCCCTATGACATGCATTTATATATATTTTAGATACATATTTGTATTCGTATATATTTATATACATATAAATATGGCACAATGGAGACCTCAGCCACTAGCAGGAAGAAACAGAATTCTACAACCATGTGAACTTGGAGGAGGACTCTAAGCTCCACACAAAAGATAGCTGGAAGCAAAATTGGATTTTAGCCCTGAGAGTGTATAAGCAGAGAAGCCAGCTACACTATGTCTATGCTTCCCACTCACAGAACTAAGAAGAAATAGATGGTTACTTTTTTAGTCTAAGTTTTGCAATAACTGTACAGCAGCAAAAATATGAATACATTCTACTTTATGATACCTACAAGAGACTCGTCACAGACAGAGAGACACAGAAGAATGGGAAGGAAATGGATGAGGAAGATACATCATGCAAATGGTTAAGCACAGAAAGCTTAGCATGGCTACATTAATATCAAAGTGGACCTTAAGACAAGAGATATTATCTGAGATAAAGAGGGACACTTCCCAGTGATGAAAGGCAAATGGTGTTCAGGAGGCAGACATAATGACATAAACGTTCATGTGTGTAATAACAGAGCCGCAACCATGGTAAAGCAAAAATGACAGGTTTAAAAGAACAAATAAAATCTTCAACAACAATTAGAACGGATGTTAATACCCTCTCCCGCAGCAACAGATAAAATATATATGCTTGGTATTTTTACAAAAAGGTCCGTATACCTGCATATAAAACAACTGTCAATACATCTTAAAGGACTGAAACAATAATGAGCTTCTGCAGTCAGGCTCGTGGAGACTAGGGATACGTGCTTGCAGGGGGACAGGGGGATGGGAATGGCACCAGTGGGGGTATGTGGAGACCTGGGTGCTCGTGCCCAGGCAGATGGAGCAAGCCTGGGGAATTCCCTGCATGCTTTACCAGGGCCAGGGAGGGAGGGAGTACAGCCCTGGATTAGTAGGTTGGCATACAGTGCTGGTGGACCAGGCCAGGGACCCATGTGCTCCTGGGCATAGGAACTATGGATTCATCAAGGAAAGGGGTAAGGGACTGTAGGGGAGCAAGGGCTGCTGAGGGAGTATGTAGTAGGTAAAGAATGACTTTTGAGGAACTTCCATCCACAAGGCCAAAGCACCTGCAGGTAAGCAAGGGGGCTGAGACAGCATTTGAAGTGAGGAAGCTGCAGGACTTTCGTGGGTCAGACAGATGCATGCCCATGTGGGAGACCTGAACTGGGCTAATTAGCATGAGATGACAGCTGACCATCACTCACAGATCCACATTAAAGGTAGAGCTGGAGGCCTATCTGTCAGGGCTAGATCACAGTACCTGCCAGTGAAGAGTAGGAACAGGGGATGGGCAATGTTAGGCTGGGCCATGACACCAACCAGCATGAGAGAGAACCAGGTCTGAGGGCAGAATCTCTGGGGGATTCTGTGGGCCCACCACTGTGGAACTGAAATTTCCACTGGTTTGCTTAAGAGTTGGCAATAGTGATGGGTTAAGCTAAGCATGTCCATGGAACTCTCAGACACTCATGGGTACTGGGGCTCAGAACAGGCTGGGCTGGTCCAGGCTGCAGTACCCACAGATGCACCCAAGAAGAGGGTGTAGTTCCTACTGGTGAGCATGAGAGCCAGAATGGGGCAGTGGCCTGGATTAGACATGGCTGCAGTGTCCCTCAGCATGGGTGTGGACTGGGTCTAGGGGTGCCAAACAGGGCTAGACTCCAGCACCCACTGGTATTTGTGAGAGCCAAGGAGGGCATAGGGCAGGCTAGGCTAGGTCTCGGCACCCACTGAACCACGTGAGAGCTGTGTCTGGGCATGGACTAGGTGTGGCTGGGCTGTAGCACCCAATAGTAAGAATTGGAATGGGTGTGGTATGGTTGGGCAAGGCCAATGTTCCTGCCAGGACAGCAGGTGGATTAAGTCAGTCTGTGCCAAGGATTCACCAATGGGCACGAGATCTGCCACTGGGAAGAGATCTGATAAGGAAGCCGGGGCAGGGTTGGGCTGGGCTGTAGCACCCACTGGTTTATGTAAGAACTGAGGCTGGAGACAGAACTGACTCAGTAATTGTGACTACCAGTATGTGCTTTGGCTGATCTGGGTGACGGATAGAGCTGGACCCCCTACAGCCAAGCACACACAAAAATCAGGACTGTGATCACTTCAGAAGAGGTTTATTTGGGAATATGCCTGACTAAACCACTGGACTCAGAAGTCCAACCATGGGGAGAATTGTAGGATCTGTAGTCAGATCATGGAGTGCATGTATCAGAACCTGGCCTCATCAGCGGCTTAAATGGAACAGTGGACAGCATACCCAGATACACATGGAGGATTTGACAGTCCATTGGAGCCTGCAGAGGACATGTGGTACCTTTACAGAGGATGGAGAGCAGAATAAATTGGTCAACTACTCCAGCCAAACTTGACAGAAAGTATCTGGGCGAATGGAGACTCTAAGATGGACTATGTCAGACAATGGACCTTGGAAGGATTTCCTCATCCTTGGAGCAGTGAGATCAATAGCATTTCAGAACTATTGAAACCACGTGAGCAGAACCCTCGGAGCTTGTTTCACAGCAAGGACCCTGTGATGACACTGGGTGCCCATTCCCCCTCCCCGGGTACTGAGGCAGTTGGAACGGCTTTTCCTCTTATCTCCTCCCAGATACAGGAAGAATAAAAAGAAAATTGGAAACAATGGTCTCACCCACTTGCCACTTAAGCTTGACCCTTCCCACCCTAATCAACTATGTAAACATCATCAAAAATTAACTTTTTAAAAAAGGAAATAATAATGGACACGCTCTCTGATCACAGCCTACAATTATCAATAAAAACAGAAATCAATAAAAATAGATTATCCACATGACAGACACTGTGGCACAGCAGGTTCAGCGGCCCTTGGCCACCCAGTTTCTGATCCAGCTTCCTGCTCATTTGCCTGGGGAGGCAGGGGTGATGGCCCAAGCGCCTGGGGCCCCGCCGTGCATGTGGAGACTTTGAGAGAGCTGGGCTCTTAGCTTTGGCTTGGTCTAACCCTGCTTTTGCAGGCATTTGGCGGCGGGGGGGGGGGGGGGGGAGTGGGGAAGCAGCAAATGGAAACATCCCTTTCTCTCCATCTCTCTTTTTTGTCCACTTTCTCTATCACCCTGCCTTTCAAATACATGAAAAGTTTTAGAAAAAGATTTCTTTATTTTTATTGGAAAGGCAGTTTTACAGAGACAAGGAGAGACAGAGAGAAAGATCTTCTGTCTGCTGGCTCACTTTCTAAATGGCTGCAATGGCTAGAGATGAGCCGATCTGAAGCCAGGAGCTTCTTCCTGGTCTCCCACAGGAATGCAGGGTCCCAAGACTTTGGGCTGCCCTCCTTCGCTTTCCCAGGACATAAACAGGGAGCTTATTGAGAAGTACAGCAACTGGGACATGAACTGGAAACCATATGGGATGCTGGCGCTTGCAGGTAGAGGAATAGTCAATTGAGCCATCAAACAGACCTGCAAATAAATCAATCTTTAAAAAAAAAAAATTGAAACATTTCTTCCCTTAAAATAAAAATTCCATTTAGGATCCTGGCACTGTGGCATAGCAGGTACAGCCACTGCCTATGGCACAAGTATGCCATATAAGTTTGAGTCCTAGCAGTTCCACTTCTCATCCAACTCCCTGCTAATATACCTGGGAAAGCAGTGGAAGATAGCCCAAGTGATTGGACCCCCTGCTACTCACATGGGAGACCTGAATGAAGTTCCTGGCTCCTGGCTTCAGCCTGACCCAGCTCCACCATTGAGGCCGTCTGGGGGAGCAAACCAGCAGAAGGAAGATCTCTGCCTCTCTCTTTCTCTGTCTCGCCTTCTGTATCTGGAACGCTACCTTTCAGATAAATAAATAAATAAATAAATAAATAAATACATCCTTAAAAATGCTACTTAGGGACCCAGTGTGGTAGTTTAGTGGCTAAAGTCCTTGCTTTGAACACAACAGGATCCCACATGGGCCCCAGTTCAGATCCCGGTGGTCCTACTTCCCATCTAGCACCCTGCTTGTGGTCTGGGAAAACAGTCAAGGATGACCCAAAGCCTTGGGACCCTGCATCTGCATTGGAGGTCTGGAAGAGGCTCTGGACTCCTGGCTTCAGATTGGCTGAGCTCCAGCCACTGCGGTCACTTGGGGAGTGAATCATGAGACAAAAGATCTTCCTGTCTCGCCTCCTTTTGGTGTATCTGATTTTGCAATAAAAATGAATAAATCTTTTTTAAAAACTTTACTTAGGAAAACCTCAAATATTTGGAAATTAAACAATATACTTCTAAATAATTCAAGGGTCAAAGCATGGGGGAAAACAGTTTGAATTAAATGACAAATGAAGAGTCGATGCGTGGAAACATGGTATGCAGCCCAAATGCAAGTAAAAGCTTACAGCGTCAATGTTTACATGAACTGTCCACCTAAGACATTTTACCTCAAGCAACTGGAGAAAGAAGAGCAAACTAAATGCAAATCAGAGAGAACACAATGGAAGAGAAACTGACAGAGAAAATTAGCAAATTCAAAAGTTAGTTCTTTGAAAAGAAAAGCAAAATGAACAAACTGCTATCCAGACTCAAAGTGAAAGAGGCAAAAAAAAGAAAAGTAAGTAGACACAATTCACTAACATCAGAAAGATTTCCTCAGGTTATCACTGTAGGTCCTAATAGTAAACAGATAATAAAGATCACAATGTAGGAAATACCTGACGCTGACAAATTTCAAATACAACAGATTTTTATAAAAATAACAAATTTCAGGGTGAGTGCTGTGGTGTAGTCAGTTAAGCTGCTGCCTGCTGTGCCAGCATCTCAGTGGGTGCCGGTTTGAGTCCCGGCTGCTCAACTTCCACCCCAGCCTGGGAAAGCAGTAGAAGATGGCCCAAGTCCTTGAATCCCTATACCAATGTTGGGAAACCAGGAAGAAGTTCCTGGCTTCTGGCATTCACTGGCCTAGCCACAGTAGCTGGAAGCCCTCTTTCTCTGTAACTCTGAAATAAATAAATTCTTAAAAATTCCTTGGAAAATGCAACTTAATTAAAATTGACATAAAAATTACTGCACTCTCAAGAACCTTGTATCTAGAAAAGAAACTGAATGTTATCAAAAAAAAAAAAAAAAGCTTTTCATAATCCAAACTACACCCAGATTGTTTCACGGCTGAATTCTATCAATCAAGGAAGAAATAGTGCAAATCTTTTACAAGCCTCTTAGAAATTAAATTCTTAGAAATTAAATGTTCTGAAGCCAGAACCTCACAAGAACATTACACACACAGAAAATTACAGATCAACAGTCCTCGAGGGTAGAGTCAGAAAATCTAATTGAAAAAAAATGAAAATCTATTTTCAAATAATATCCAATATATTGCAGGATAATGTATTGAGGCTAACTAGGGTTTGCTTCAAAAAGGCAAGACTGGCTGAAGACTTTGGAAAATAAATCAATGCAATTGGTTGGGTTAACAGAAGGAAGGAGCAAAGGTTTTTGAGGAGATATGGGAAACTCACTTGGCAAAGTTCAACAGCCATTCATGATTAAACCCTGAACAGGCTGGAAATGAAACATCACTTCCTCAGGCAGATTAGAGACCAGGGAACACTCGCCAGGCAAGCTCCTGTTCACGGAGAAAACCTGAAGCTTCTCGCTTGAGCTCAGGACCCGGCCTGGAGCCCTGTCTACTCCACTTTCATTCGACATCACATTGGAGGTGTCTTTGTTTCAAAGGCAGAGTTCTAGAAAAAGAGAGGGAGGGAGAGACAGAGACAGAGATCTTCCACCTGCTGATTCACTCCCTGAAGGGCTGCAGCAGCCAGCCAGGGCTGAATGAGGCCAAAGCAAGGAGCCAGGAGCTTCTTCCTGATCTCCCTCCTGGGTGTAGGGGTCCAAGCATTTGGGCCATCCTCTGCTGCTCTCCCCAAGCCATTATCAATGAGCTGGATCAGAATTGGAGCAACTGGGTATTCGAATGGGATGCTGGCAGTGCAGGTGGCAGCTTTATGCAATTTGCTGCAACACTCGACCATGGCAAAATCTTTAAAAAAATAAACACTCACCTGCTAGAGAACCTAGCTATTCTTTACACATAGAGTTAAGATAAATTAAAATATTTGTCTACACAATGACAGGGGTAAGAATATATACCTAACAAGCAAAGGAATAAACAAAAATGTCGCATATCCTCGGCTATGAAAAGGAATGAATTATTGACACAGGGGACTGTGTGGCATCTCAAAATCACTTCTCCTAAGGAAAAGAAGCCGAAATAAGGAAATACACAGAATGCATAATGTAAGATTCCAGTTGTAAAAATAATGATGGTTTCAACGGCCACATGTTACCTATGTCAACCACTTACAGGTACACACGCTGTGACACCATCTGTTCAGTTTCCTAGGGCCGTGATAACAAACCACTAGGTAGCTCAGAATAACAAATATTGATTCTCTTACAGTCCCAGAGGTCAGACCGCTTAAAGTAAGCAGTTGGCAGGGCCGTACTCCCTCTAAAAGCTTGCCTTTCCTCTCTGATGGCTTCTGGCAACCACTGTCGTTTAGTGGCTCGTAACTGCCTGACTCCGAGCCCTGCCTCTGTCACCACCCAGCATTCTAGCTGGTACCAGCTCTGAGCCATCAAGTCTACTTCCATTTGACAACATCTGAGAATCATTCAGAGAGCATCCTGAGCGGGACATCTCTTCACTTGATCACATCTGACTCATTTTCAGACAGGAGGAGGTGGGGGCTAGGGCTTGGCACTCCGGTTCATCGTTGTAGATAAGATAACCAACGTCTCATTCGCACCAGAGTTGGTCCCCAAATGCCCTGCTCATCGCTACCCAAGGCAGACACTAGGAGCAGGTGACACCCTGGCTTTCCCTTTGCCTGTTCCTGATCAGACACACCCAAACCTGGGGTGTGTCAACTGTGGCTGCCATTCCATGAAACAAACCAGGGGGGAGACAGGCGGCAGGATCTGACAGTGAAACAAGCCCCTGCCTGACCCCGAGCTGCGGCAGGATGGTGCTTCAGCAGGCAGAGCAGTACACAAAGGCCCTGGAGAGCATTCATCGGTGAGATACTTTTGCCATGGTTTCAATTCTAACCTGAACAAGGAAACAAAGGCCAAAGGAAACTCCCAGAACACCTGTATTCGATGGGATATGGGGGCGGTTTCCCTTTTCCAGACAGGGCTTGTGCTCACTTCCCAAAGTCCTCTGAGGGTATACTTGGCATTCCTACAGGATCACTTTTTTTGGGGGGGAGGGGATGGCATTTTGATCTTTGCTTCTAAATCTGATGCTTGTGCTATGCATCTGTAGAAGACATCATTTTGAAAAGCGTATCATGACCATCGGCTGTTGTCTGCTTTTCTCTGCGCACAGCCTACACCCTCGCTCTCAGAGGTGAATCCCAGCAGGAGGTCATCTGCAAGTCTTCTGGCCACAGTCCCAGCTGAGGTTGCCCTCTGCACTTGTAGCTATGTGTGAGTGAAGACGCCTTTGAAACGACCCCAGCCTCAACCACTCTGACTTCAACAGCAAGCAAGACCCGGAATAGGAACTGCCCAGTGGAGCCTGGTCAAAGCCCTGAACCGGGACATGCAACACTAATAAATGCCCGCTGTTGCTTGGGTCTCAGAATTCGCAGAAAACCCAGGCATGTAGGATCTGTTGTCCGACAGCTTTCATGAAGACGCCCCTGGTCCCTGGACGGGGAGGTCCCTCCCTCCTTCTAGCCCTGGGAGCAACGTGCATGACTTACTGAGCAGGGGAGCCTGAAGGGCTTGGTGGGCGTGGTGAAGGAGGCGCTGTGGATGGGGTCTGGGGAGTGGCCGTCGTTCCATTGGGCCAGGATCGCTTCCACGTGAACCGTGACCCCAGCGGCTCTGAGCGCCTCGGCCACTGCGCTTTCCACTGAGTAGTTGTTGAGGCAGGTGACAGTGGAGGAGGGCGGGGGCTGCACCATGTGGACGCAGGTGCCCTTCACGCCCAGGTGCAGGAGCATCTCCACTGTGGTGTAGGCGTCAATAGTGTTCCCGTAGACAATGACGTTCCCTAGGAAAGGAGGGGGAGTGCTAAGATATGCAGTCCAGAAATAAAAAAAAAAAAAAAAAAGAGAAAGAAAGAAAAACCAACCCCTATTAGTCAAATGCTAATAATGCCGAATTGCTCCTGTGACCCTCTGTCCCTCTGCCACAGGAAGCCAGCGGTGTTACCTAGCAACGGTGACCAAGATAATTTAGTCAAGAATTGGCACAAAACATCCCACAAAGTAGTCAAGTACTTTTAACGCAGAAGTAGAACATTCATTTATGTTCCTGCCATTGGAAAGTTGAAATTATGCCGCACCGAATGGTCTAGGACAAAACCTTTTATCTTGTTTTTGTTCCCTATTTGCTATACTTATTAAGGAAACAAAATTACTGAAATTTGCAATAATACAAGTTCTAAGATGAAAGGACAATGGTAACACACACACACATTCGTGCATACAAGATGCTATTGTTATTTTAATATTCCAATCCTGAAGTGGGTGGATTTCGAGGGTGTGTTTGCCTTTTGTGAAAACGAAAGACGGAGAATAAGTAGTCTGCTTTAAAACAGACACTTTAATAAATATTCAGATTCTGAGTTTTAGAATTTAATGTGTCAAGACTCAGCTAGAAGGACTGCACAAACAGCATTTTGGTTAACAAGCACAAAGTCATAAAACGTTCCGCAAAGATTTCCCTTCCGGTGGCAGCAAGCTCTACCACGTGTTCAATGTTCTCAGAAACGCAGAAACGTACAAGCCCTTCCGCGGTTTCATCGGCTTTAAGTAAACGACGCTGTTCAATGAGGGAGGGCTACTACACGTGATTCTTTACAATGACTTGGCAGTCTTCAAAAAACCTGTTGTACACTCACTTTGCAGATACAGGTAACAATCTGCCTATAAAACACATATTTCACTGAAAGGTATGAAAGGGGATTTCACAAAGCACAAAGAATGACGTTATTTGTTCAGTTGGACTGAATAAATTATATAAAATTTGATTTCAATCCCAAATGGAAATGAGGTGTGATGGCTCATTTTATCTGCCGAGGAAAGATAAACCAGAGAAAAAGAAAAAGTCTTCTCTGGGGGTGATATTGTCTAGAATATTCTCCCACATTCTCTGGCGCCCAGCTATGGGACGGTCACAGGTGCCTTTCGCGTCTGCGTTACTATGCTGCAGCCCAACGGCTCTGACTCCTGCCCTATTCGGGTATTCCACTAGTGCGTCCCTCAGGGAGCTGCAACTGCCCTAGGGGAGAGAGGCGGCATCTAGCTGAAATTATCATGGCCTCTACCTGACACAAAACAGAAATCTCAGCCGACCATCAGCAAAGCCAAAATTTGAACTAAAAACTACCTCAGACTTGAGGCCTTCTTTTCCCCAAAACATGCATGCCAAAACAACTTTCGTTCTTACTTAAACATATGCAAATGCTTAAGCCCCAATGTAAAATTCAGTCATTTTCCATGCTCCTCTCTCTCTTTTTAAAGATTGATTTATTTGAAAGGCACAGTCTCTCACATACACACAGAAAGAGAGAGAGAGAGAGAGATCTTGGTTCGCTCTCCATTTGGCCACAGTGGCTGGGGCTGGGCCAGGCTGAAGCCAGGAGCTCAGAACTCCGTGTGAGTGGCAGGGGCCCAATCACCTAGGCCATCTTCTGCAGCTTCCCCAGACACATGAACAGGGAGCCGGATGCAGAGCAGCTGTGGTGCAAACCTGGGATGCGGCTGTGGCTACCCTTTTGTACCACATCACCAGTCCAAAGATGAATTTAATCAGTGCAGAAAGGGATCTTCAAAAAGCTCACTGAAAATGCCTATCATGAGAAAACCACTTGTGAATTTTTTTTTTTCCATTCCATTGTCAAGATCTGATCACTTTTTTTTTTTTTTTCTCCTGCTCCATTCGCTCGACAGATGAGAAATGATTCAGTTTTGCACTTGATCTGGCAGGTGACAGAGGTAAAAGGTCAGCTGCCCTACTTTAAAATGGCAAACGATAACTGATGATTAGAACACTCAGGGTGAATTTTCAACAGAGGAGAATGGGATATGACCAGAGCATTTTTCATGGAAGGCCAATCTGTGTTGCTTCTCTTAGGGGATAAATCACGCATTAGCTAAGCGCACAGCGCTGAACGGAGAAGCGATGTCAGAGGAAGGCACAGGGAGGAAGGCAACGGTGAAAGCTCCTGGAATGAGAGCTACCAAGAAGGAGCACAAGTTGTCTTCTTTTTTCAGCAGCCTTTGAAGCACAGCACGCAAGGGCGGCAGCTACCCCACAGGAGCGGTGGCTTCAGGCCCGCTGGGGAGCAGGGAGAAGGATGCAAATCAACATCTGGATGAGCTGTCAGTTTCCCTCTGCAGATGGCAAAGTGCAAGGAAGACCTGCACATGCTGGCAGGAATGAAGATAACTGTTTTTGCTTTTTTTTTTTTTCACATTGTAAGTGAAACCCCAGCATGGTAGCACAGTAAGGTAAGCTGCCACCTGCGATACCAGCATCTCACCTCAATCCCGGCTGCTCCACCAGCCATCCAATTCCCTGCTAATGCAACTGGGAAAGCAGCGGAAGACGGCCCAACCACTTGGGCCCCTGAGACCCATGTGGGAGATCCAGGCAGACTTCCAGGCTCCTGGCTTTGGCCTGGCCCAGAAATTTTGGTCATTTGTGGAATGAACCAGCAGATGGAAGATCTCCTCTCTCCATGTGTAATATTGCCTTTCATATAAATAAAACTTAAGAAAAATGAGAGTGTAAGCGATGGTTAAGACACCACTCGGGATTCCTGCATCCTGTATTCCACGGCCTTGGGTTTGCATCCTGGCTCTGCTTCTACCCTAGATGCCTCCAAATGCATACTCCAGGAGCCAGCAGGTGATGGCTCAGGAGGCTGGCCACCAGCAATGGGGAAAGACGGACAGAACTTCCAGCTCCTTGCTCTGATCTGGCCCAGCCCCGCCTGTTGCAGGCATTCTAGGAGTAAACCAGTGGATGACAGATACTTCACTTCTCTCTCTCTCTCTCTGTTTTGGATAAAAAGAGATTAAAAAAAAAAACCATGGTGGTTATATATGACCTCATTCATCTTTAGAACACGCCTATGAGGTAAGCTGAATTATTTCCCACAGAGGTGTTAAGCGGTGAGCCTACGGTCACACAGCAGTCAGGTGTGGTTTCAGAATCAGTGATTCCAGCATTGTACTTACTACCCTGGCATTTTAACTAGGTAGGTGTGTTCAGTAAACAGCTAGGTGATGAAGGCATTTTTAAGAAATATTTCACAGGGCATTAAAATTGTGACATAAGCACCCATTTAAACAGCATATTTTTAAGAAGTATGAACTTTTCATCGGAACGTAAGATTTCCATGCCCCATGCCTGACCTGCCCCACCATGCGCTGCCAACATTAAAAAAAAAGGAAGAACATGTTAGATCTAACGTGACAAAAGCTTTCTGGAGGTGATTCAGGCGCTGGAATTTTAATGCGAGACTTCTGACAAACATGCTTTTAATAAGGCAGTAAACTGTATTTAAAGATGAAAATAATTTATCCACTTCAAGCCATTAAGGCATTTTTAAAAAAAAATTACTTTCATCCCTCGGTTCAATTTTATGGGAAGTATGGAGGTAACAGCAGGTGAATTTCTGTCAGTTTCAGGGCCAGCCTCCCTTCTCCGTGGTTCTGTTACCAAACGCCCCCAGATGATCACTCTGGGTCTCACCAGCGCTTGAAAGCTGCATGTCAGCCTGTGATGTCACTCATCCGCCACGGCTTGGGCAGGTGCCGAGTGATGCAGGATGATTTGTTTCTAGAAAGCCATCCAAGTCTAGAGTCCAGAAACGACTTGCAGTTTGGTTTGGGTTGTTTTTACTCCATCCTGGAATGAGTGTGAGCTGCTTTGGGAATGGGGGATGGCCAGACAGAACAGTGGAGGGAGGGGCTCCCCTTTGGGCTGGGATCTGTGGGTAATGTGTGCCTGGTAGAGACTCAGAGGGCAGTCCACACCTCCTCCTAAGAGCTGCATTCACTGCCCTGCTACCCAGATACGGGTCCTTCTAGAACAGTCGTCCTGCTGGTCTCAGTGAAGCCAGGTGTGGTGCCCAGTCACAATGAGGGAGATGCAGTGAGGTTTTTATTTATTTATTTGATCCTTTTGAACAGACACTGGCCTTGAATGCCATCCCTCTGGCCCCAACTCCCACCATTAATGATCTACAAAGTGGGCTGGGGAAAGTGACTGTTGGGGGAGATGCCCACAGTTCTTCTGGCATGGTGGTCACAAAGCGAGGGCTGATACGTCTGGAATCATGATGAGACAATACAGTTTGCACATCTTCAGGACATACACATCTTTGGGAAAGGAAAGAGAGACACAGCCAGAGACAGAGACAGCAGGGAGAGAGGTCCACCTGCTGATTCAATCCCCAAAATGCCCACGGCGACTGGGGCTGGGCTGAAGCTGGGAATGTGTGTCTCCCAGTGGCATCTTCTCGGCTCTGCCAAATGCCCAGTACCCCCCCCTTTTTTTTTTTTACAAAATGCAAAAAAATCTGTTGTGGGTTGCATCTCAGCATGCAGAACCTGTGTGGTACCAGGAGCTGGTACTTTAATTTCAGTGTGTTAATCGCATTGAAAGATACACTTAGCTATATTTAAAATAAATGAAGACGCTTAATTGCAAGCATTGATGCCCGCTCTTTCAAGCACTTTATGATCTTTCCACCCGCAGATGAACAGAAGGCCTGGACTGGAGTCCCAGCTCCCCGCCCTGAGCACTCTAAATCTCCAGACCCGCGGGTTTCTACTTAAGACACAAGGGGAGTCAGGCCCGCCCCGGTTGTTCTACCAGGAGGACAATTTCCATGCAATCCAAGCGTTAAAGAGAAGGGAGGTGCTTGAGAAAACCCCCTGGCAGGGTGCAGGCATTCATGCAAATGCTTTTTAGCTTTTGATTCCAAAAGTTGCATGTCACTTGAAAATGCGTGTTTGTGGGAAGGAAGGACTCTGCACACAGCACTGAGGAGGAGAACAATGGGACAAGAGAAGAAATGAGCCCAGCCAAGGCAGGCCTCCTCTCCTAGGAAAGGTCTTTCTGGTTTCACAAAGGGAGACATATTTTCCATATAATTGCTAAACATGTTTGCTTATTAAATTAATCTTTAATTAGTTAATGATTTTAGCCCTGCTTTGCTCTTCGGATATTCATTTTGTGTAATAAAATAATTATAGATAATTAAACTATCTGAAGCCTTTCTCTTCCTCCCCCCCCTTCCACCCCCAGCAAACATGCTGGGTCTCTAAAAATGACAACAAGTTGTAAATTAATCTGGAAAACAAAAGCATGACAGATGAATGATTTGGTTGGAATTAATTAGGCACTAATTATATACTGGAACTAGATGAAGAATGAGACTCATTACCAAAATCAAAACGCTTGTTCTGAAAAAGACACTCCGTGACGGACGTCTTTACCTTCCTCGGTGATGGAATTGTCCCTTATCCAAGTGAGTGCCTTAAAGCAGTCTTCCTCGCTGTTGAGTGTGAACAGGTTGCAGGGAACTTTGCCGGTGTAACGCAGTTTGTTGAAGTTGGGGACCTCCCGGTTCGTCAGGTGCTGGCTGATGTCAGCCCCCGTGGGGCATGGGACCTGGTGTGGATGGGTGGAGACATGTGTATGTCAGGTGCTGAAGATGAGGCACAGAATAGGAAGCCCAGCCACGTCCAGTGTAGGAACGCGTCTTTCTGTGTCCAGACACAACCCATCAAGTCCTAGTGGAGTGCAACAACACAAACCTGGAACAGGTGGAGTGACCACTTAGTGCCAACTCTTCTGAAGTGTTTGGCCAATGTCTCCGTGGCTGAGGGTTGGGGAAGGACCATATAGCAAGTTCCCTGGCTCTGTAGGTCAGGAACACAGACCACAGGCAAAGCTGCTCTCTGAGCCACAGGATCAGGGTTTCTGATGAGAAGACCAAAAAGCCAGAGGTGCCTGGGGATCTGAAATCATCTGGACCTAAATAATCTATCACATCCTTTCCCTAGAGAAAACATGCTGCTATTTCAATATGACAAGAAGGTGTCAGATTTTCCATTTGTTCGTTCTGTGTCTAGCCATTGATCTAGGCTGTGTCCTGGGTCTTAGCTGGAGTTTCTCTGCCAGAACACCCACAGTCCACGTGCCCGCTGCTTGTGGTGCAGGCTCCTTACAACATGGCGGCTGAGCTCAAAGGGCAAATGTGCTGCAACAGAACCAGGACAGAGAGCTCCAAGCTCGTTTCCATTCTGGTCTTAGGAACCATAAGTGTCCCTCTGTCTTATGTGTGCATGGAGGTAGTCATAAAAATCCTACTTTAGAGCAAAGGAAGGATTCAAATTCTTCTTGCAAGAGTACAAGGTTCTAGAAGAAGGCACGGAACTGAAGTTAATGCAGCCATGATTAATTTTTTCTAAAAATGTACAACAGGGACCATAGATAAACTTCAAGTGTATAGAGGGAATAGGCAGAAAGCAGAGGGAAGTGGACTACTATTTACTTACAAAAGTCATATGCTTATTCTTCACTTTGTCAAAGATGTATTCTCTGTCTCTCTCGTCCAGTCTCCCCATCACTGCTCCCACAGACACACATTTCCTTACTGTTAAGCTGAGCCATGGGGAACACACAATGCAAGACAGCAGCTGATACTGCTCCTGTTTGCCAATCACACTGTGGCACAACAGAGCACCTGTGCCCTGGCTGTGATGTCCAAGGACGGCATCAGTAGTGGTCAAATCTGATTTCTCGGGAAATGCAAGAGCTGGGGTTTTTATGTAGACTCAGAAATTACTATTACCAAGATGATGATGATTTGAGTTAAAATCAGGTGAATACCGTTGTGAAAGCCAAATACATCAGCACAGTAGCCTGAGATTTCCCAGCGACCACCAGTGTGCCTCTCTGATTTAGTGACCAGGTGGAGGCAGACACAGGCCACAAGACTTCAAGGCAACCTATGCCATCAGGGCATCAGGGTCAACTGGGGCCACCTCCAACGGTGTCCATGAGCAGGAAGCTGGGGTCAATGAGACTAAGGACTTGAGCCCCTGGCACTCTGACATGGGCTGCAAGCATCCCTACAGCTTCCTACCTGCCACACTGGATGGCAAATCCATCCGCTCTTTCTAACACCATTTTCCCATGAACTCTTTGAAGTATCTGGACAGCGATCAGCCCATCCTGTGCGCCCTCAGCCTACGTCTCTCTGGCTAAGTACCTGTGGGGACCGAGTCTCTGGATGCTTTAGATGTTTGTTTCCATTCTTTAGGCATGCTCAGCGGTGAACAGATCTGTGACCTCCACACTTGCTGTCACAAGTCGCATCCTTTCCAGCTGTGTCTCGTTGAGTATTGATGCTGCATTTGTTGTAACTGCTGGAGTAGTCTTAGTGCACTCACAGCTAGCCCTTCTCCTTTAGAAATGGTTGTTGTCACTCTAATTGGGTATTTCTCCTTGTATTCAGTGCCAGAACAGTCATGGACTTGTAACAGGGTAGTTGAAATCACTGTTCTGTTTTCCCCTGCATATCATCCTGGTTTATAAGTCTCACTTTTAACCATTGTGGTTGCTCCCTTTGCCTTCTCCCCTCTCATCTCCAGAGCTTGGAAGGTACATATATTTTTTTTTTACGCTGCTCAAGAGGAGTCTTTCTCCCTATCTAAATATTGAGTAAAAGTCAAAACTGAAATATTACCTTTGCTACTTAGGACAACATGCACTTCTCCCTTGCCACTGCTCTCCAAATTTTCAGCAACTCCTCAGTTTTTACTGTAGCAGGAATTATTATTTTTTTTGTACTTAATCTCAAATTTACAAAGTTATGCAGATTTGCATTTTAGAAATCATGTGTGAGGCTTGCTACCTCCATTTCTATTAATGTGAATTTCAAGATTTTCTTTTCTGTCTCAGTTGTTTGTATTATACATTAAAGCAAAAAAAAAAAAACCAGAAAATATATTTTTTCTAAGACTTGCACATGAAAAAATGGCTTTATGCTACTTTCAGGTGCGATAGATTTGGATGGGCATATAATCATGGAATCATCACATTTTCTCCAAAATGTTGTGTAGCTTCATTTTCTTTTGCTATTTAATGCTGGCGAGGGAAGTTTTGATGTTTCTTTTGTTCTCTCCCAGGAGCATGGGTTAGTAATCTGATTTTCCTTTTGAAGTCTGTTCATTTTACCCCCATCTTTCTCATGACACAATGAGAAATTCCTCGTTCTCTGACATTTGTCAGAACGCCACTGAGCATTCTCTTTTGGTCAGAAGGTGGTCACTTTGTCGGACAACATGTTTTCCGCGTAAGAAAAATTTTCTTCTAGCATGTCTTTAATTATTGTCTCCATTCCAGTTTGTTGGGTCTCTGCTTCCGAAAAGTCAATCATCTACACGTTGCTCCATATCACTCATAGCCTGTCATCTTTTAGATCAGATGTGCCCTATTGTCCCCCGACTGTTAAGGGGGCTTTGTACTTTGCCCTCAGTATCCCTGACTTTGTTTACCAGTCCTTCTGTCTCTGAAGGAGGCTGAATGTCAACCCTGCCTTACTCTCCCGTCTCTCTTTATTGCTTTTGTGGCCTCTCTGTTAGTCCTCCGTCTCAGAGTCTGGGTGGTCAGACAGAACTGAGAGACCAGAAGCTTCCTGCCACACCTATGGAATATGGAAGCATTTGTGTGTGAAGTCGGCCTTTGGGCATTTTCAAAAGCAGGTTTTCTCCTTGGTTTTTCTTGATGTCATTCCCTTTCTCTTCTCTCTGTGTTGCCTTTGGTCACAGATGTCACACTTCAAACAGGAAATTCACTGCCAAGACTCAATTTTGTCAGCTTTTCATGATCCTATGGGTCAGAACTTCTGGGGCAGGGTGTGATGAGTGATTGTTTTTATTGTTTTATTTATTTTTTAAAGACTTATTTGTCTTTATTGGAAAGGCAGATATACAGAGAGCAGGAGAGAGAAAGATCGATCTTCCATCTACTGGTTCACTCCCCAAATGGCTGGAGCTGAGCTGATCCAAAGCCAGGAGCCAGGAGCCAGGAGCCAGGAGCCAGGAGCCAGGAACCTCCTCCAGGTCTCCCACATGGGCGCAGGATCCCAAGTCTTTGAGCCGTCCCCCATCCAGGGAGCTGGATGGGAAGTGGAGGAACTGGTCATGAACAGGCGTCCATATGGGATCCCGGCACTTGGAGGATTAGCCAGTTGAGTCACTGCACTGGGGCCTTGGGCAATGCTTTTACTCCACGTGTCACTGACAGAAATCACTTGGTAATACTCAGCTGGCAAGTGGCCTTGATCTGGAGGATCCAGAATGGCATCACTCACACATCTGGAATCTGACAGAAATGGCAGGGGAGGCGGGACAAGTGGGACTGTGAAGCAGAGAGGTCACCTGTGCAATCCCCAGCAGGAGGCTCCAGGCCTGGGGACTCCTGCAGGCATCGGCAGCTCCAGGAGTAATTTCCACAAAGAGGGGCTGCCTAGCCTCCATCAAGGTAGTCACACAAGCCTTGTTGCGACTCCATATTCCAGGAGAGGAGAGATAGGCTGCATCTTTTGGGAGCGAGAAACACTGACAAGTTCCCAGAGGATCCCATGATAGCCACTTGTCCTGGACATGCTACTGTTCCCATCATAGCCATTTGTCCTGGACACGCTACTGTTCCCGCCCCCTCATCTTCCTTGAAGTAGAATCTTTTTGTATCAGATGTCATCATATGACAAGGGAGTGAGGCGCTCAGGTACCATTTTGTTCACTCTAATATGTAATCAACTCTCTGGATATCACAACACATGGCTAGTCTCTAATCAAGCTTGGGATAAACCAAAGGTCCTGCTTATTCAGGTACTTGCCCCACCCACTGGCTTCCTGGATGGTCTGTGTCTCAGTCTTCTCACGGTCAATACCAAACTTATTTGACTTTGAGCTGATAGAGTGTTGTTCTTCCTCTTTCTTTGTGATGTTACTGAAGTCCTGACTTATCTCTGGAATTGTCTTCAGGTGGAAAGTGGCTCTGTGGGCTCATTGTGGAGGTCATCTCGCAGTGCTTACTTTTCTTTCTTTTTCAATTAAGTTAGTTAATACCTTTCTTTAGAGTTGAACTGACCCAAGGCCAGAAGCCAGGAACTTCTTCTTGGTCTCCCATGTGGGTGCAGAGGCTCAAGGACTTGGACCATCATTTGTTGATTTTTTCAGGCCACAAGCATGGAGCTGGATCCAGAAGCAGAGCACCCAGGACATGAACTGGTGCCCATATGGGATGCTAGCATCATAGGTAGAAGATTAGCTTGCTATGCCACTATGCTGTCCCAATGTGTTTTTTCAAAACCAGTGTATGTTCACCAAAGCCAGAAACCCAAACAGACAGGTGTGTGCAAAGGAGTTATACAGAACTGCTGTGAACGAGCAAAGCCACTGTCCCACTTAGAGGTGCTCACAGATGGTCTGAAGTTGACAGACCAAGGGAGAAACTTTCACAAATGCATCATTGGGAGCTATGGGAGTAACTACTGAAGAATCAACAACAGAAATCCTTCAAAACTGACTCTAGAAGAATGACTTAGAAGTAAAAGAGGAGGCCTGGCATGGCAGCCTAGTGGCTAAAGTTCTTGCCTTACTTGCGTCGGGATCCCATATAGATCCTGGTTTGTATCCTGGCTGCTCCACTTCCCATCCAGCTATCTGCTTGTGGCTTGGGAAAGCAGTTGAGGGGAAAGCTTGGGACTCTGTACCTGTGTGGGAAACCCAGAAGCAGCTCCTGGCTCCTGGCTTTGGATGGGCTCAGTTCCAGTTGTTGTGGCCAACTGGGGAGTGAATCAGTGGATGAAGGATCTTTCTAAACTCTTTCCTTCTCTCTAAATATTTGAAAATAAATAAATCTTAAGGAGAGAGAACTTGTGAGACCTGCCATGTCTTTTCTCCAGTCCTGAAGAACAATTCTTTCCCTTGCGCATGGTTTGCTGATCAACCAAACGAAGTGCACCTGCGTCTCAAACACCACTTCAGAATGAGGCACACCACTCAAAATGCTTCATTAGTTTTAGTTTACAACTATATTTTATAATAGGTTATCTTTGTTCTTAGCTATGTAGGCTTTATTTTCATCACTGAGTTTTGCTTTCAAAAAAATCACAGAATTGGGACATCAGCATGAAAGAACTGAAGAGAAGAGAAGAGAAACGGAGGAGGAGGAGAAGCCAGGCTAGGCAATCTGCTGCAGCTGGAGCTGCTCTTTCTGGTATCGCTCTGCGTATCTTTGGTCTTGATGTCCTTCTGGAAAAAAAATGAAATTGGAACTCCCTTTATCGCTTCTTCATGTTGTGTTTCACTTTGCAAAAAAAAAAAAAAAAAAGGGCAGGAGCTTAATGTCCCACTGACTAAAGCTGCAGGGCCAGCTGGACACACATGGACCGATGCCCAGGTCTTGGGACAGCTCGCTGTGTCTTCTGCTCACAGCTTCCAAAGCACAAACTTGCCAGCCACCACCGGTACCCTGGGGTGGGTGAGTTGATGAGAGACAAGCTGTAGAGTATGTGGCATTTTCTTCTGGTTTAATATTTTTATAACCAAGAGGAATACTGGCATAGGAACATGAAGTATCCCTCCAGTTCATCTTTATTTTTTAACCAGAGCAAAAAAAAAAAATCATTTTCTTTCAGTAATTAAACTTCTTAAAAAAAAAGTGTGTGTGTGTGGGATGAAATGTAGGAAAGGAGGAAGGAAAAAAGAAATTGAGAGAAAAGAAATGAGGCACAAATTGATACACAGGACTCCACCTGTGGGCCCTTGGGGAATAGTCCTGAGCGTACCTGGAAGCTTTGTCAGAGATGCAGCGTCCTGGGCTCCCCTGGCCCACACCCTGGGCTCAGAATCAGCATTTTAACAAGAGTCACAGGGAGTCATGTTTGCATGGTGCAAAGTTCAGAAATGCTGCTCCAAAAATTCTAGCTGGTGGCTCTCAGCCTTAGCTTACAATTATTTGGGAAAATAAAAAAAAAAATTACTAGGGCGGGTGATGTGCCACAGCAAGTTAAGCCATGACTTGGGTGGACACCCACACCACCTCACCACGTATTTAGGTGCTAGTTTGAGTATGCCAGCACCTCTGCTTCCAATCCTGGCCCCTGCTGATGTGCCTGGGAGGCAGCAGGTGACCAGTCGAGTCCTTGGGCCTCGGTGGCCCACATGGGAGACCTGGATGGAGTCCTAGGCTCCTGGCTTGACTCTGGCTCAGCCTTGACTGTTGTGGGCACTTGGGGGAGTGAACAGATTAATGGAATAGCTTTCTCTCTGTGTCTCTCTCTTTTCCTTGCAGCTCTGCCTTTTGAGTAGATGAAAATAAACATGTAAGAAAAAAAATAAAAAGAATAAAGAATAGAATAAAAAATAAAAATAAAAAGAATGACTGGGCCCCCACCCCAGAATAGTAAAATCCCTGGGTGGCAGAGGGTGTAGGTACAAGCCTGTCTTCAGAGAAGCCTTGGGTGGCTCCCATGTGCAGTCACAGTAGACAGGATACTGAGAGGGTTCAGTCCCCCTGCCCTGGCTCCTCTGGGCCAGGCAGTGGGAAGGCAGCCAGCACACATGCCTCTGTGTGGACTCCATAGCCACCGACAAGATGGTCTGAAACCCCTGGCCCTGAGTCCCAGAGTTCACTGGCAAGACCCAGCCTGCTTTCATGGACTCCCATGAGGTGCCCAATGTGTGCTGAAGGCCAGAGAGGCGGCAATCTGTCACCCCAAGTCATGGGGGCAGCTCTAAGCTGTCAAGCAGCAACACTTTCTTCAGATCCAGCTTCAACAGATTGATCACACAGCTGCCGGGAAGCCGGTCAATCAGACTTCCTAACTTTAAGACTAAGAGACAGAAGGTGTGCATGTTTGCAATATTGTTGCAGGGGCCCACCACTGACGCCTCCTGTGGCATCAGTGAATTGAACATACAAACGTGCATACCTGGTGGTGTCTGGATCCAGCCTCAGCCAGTAGCTAAGTGTTAACGGACATGACTTCAAGAATATTTCTCCAGCTCACTGCCATTTTTATCTTTGAATAGACTTTTTTTTTTCCTGGACTGGGTCCCTGGGAGTGCTATGTGGACACAGCTCTGGCCTCGGGCACAGGGCTTGGAGAGTGTATTTGTGAATGCACAGCGGCAGCTGTCTTGGAGGAGGGTGCGCGGGTTGGGTAAACACGTCCACCACGGACAGCTCCCAGCACGCCCCTGTCTGCGCAGCCTCACCTGGTACTGCTGGCCCGTACACAGGATGAGGTGATCGTAGTGTACGATATCTTCCTGGGAAACCACCACGTGCTTGGCCACCCGGTCTATGGCCGTCATTCTTCCCACCACCACGTTAACCCAGGAGCACAGGGACATCAGTGCATAATCTTTATCATTAAAACAGTGGCTGCAACAGAAAGAGGAGAGCTCTGTGAGTGACATTTGAGCAGCTGACAGTGAGTATTAATTAGACATCTGGGGAGCTGCTACAAGTCCCCTGATGGGCCAGGTCCCAGGCTCTAGCTGCAAGCTGACCAGAACCAATGCTAGATTTTTTTTTTTTTTTAAGATACAAATGAACATCCTTCCGTTGGAGCTGATTTGTTCCACCTGGCTTAGGCTGGTCCACACGGAGGGTGTGTGTGTGTGTGTGTGTGGGTGTGTGTGTGTGTGTGTGTGTGTGTGATCACTCTTCTGCTTCTGTGCATGATGTTTTTAAGCTTGCTTTAGCCGTTGAACTGTCACACTGACCACAGGAAATGAGAAACAAAAGAATGACACTGCTAAGGCAAGGGTCAGTGTCCTAGAATACAGAGAAAACTTCCATGCTAGTGCTTGTTCGATAAATGACTCATCCTACAACCAATGAATGGCTTCGTGCCAAAGCAACAAGATGCCTTTTATGTGGTCAGGGGTCAACCAGGTAGGAAGTGAGGCTTGCAGCTAGTTCTACCCCTAGGGACTTTGGGGAGTCCTTGCGCTGGGCACAGGTGACATGCAGGGAACTGGCACTTGTGTGCAGAGTGGGACCAGTGAAGACTTAGCAAAGGTCTGGTGGCTGCGCAAGCTCCATTCCCTGGTGTCGGAGGAGGGATTGCGATGAGGACTGTTTGAAGGATGTTCTGAAAGGTCTGACCCTGTGAAGATGACCTTTGGTAACACTCCTGTTGTGACAACCAGTGGTTGTCTAAGATGACAAAGTCAGGATGAGTTTCTTTTCGGTGCAGGCTGCTCTTGTCAAGCAGAATCTTGCCAGGGTCTGCAACCCCCTGCTCTTGATCCTGGCCTAGCTGCACCCTCGATGGCCTTCAGTCTCCTCACCTCCCCACCAGGGTGCTGAGGGGGATACTGAGCCCACCCTGGATACCTTGACCATTGTGAGGAAGGAACGGGAGAATGTAAGAGATGCTGCTTTGTCAAGTGGGATGCAGATGGGGAAGGCATTATCTAAATAATGTTAATGATACATAATCCTGTTTATTTTCCTCGGAGGCAAACAGGATTCTGAAGTGGTAATGGGAGAACACTTTTCTTCTTTTTTGATCCATGCAACAGTCTGGTCTTGCTGCACAAAGAGAATTCTAGTAATGGATGCCCATTAGACCCTGTTACCAGGGCCCGTGAAAAGAGATGGGTGCTCCGGGCTTTGCAACTCCCTGTGAAGCAACACTTAAAAACAAGATGATTTCATCTTAATAAATTAAAAAAAGAAAAGAAAATCAAGGGCTAGCAGGTCGCAGGGAAATAATGGGCAGTGAGATGAAATTCTTTGTCAACAAGTACCCACGTTGATAGCTTTACAGCAGTACAGGTGGCTCAGGGAGCCCAACTCTCTATGACAGATGGTCCCAGGGTTGTTCCCAGTCATCTCACAGTCCCTCCTGTATGCACGCCATGCGAGGTGGTGGTAGGGGAAATAAATGAAGTTAGTGCACAGGGATTAGTGCCGTGAGGATCTGTGCAAAGATAAATGGATAAATGCTTCTGAGGAAAATCCACAGAAGGTTAAGAGGCCACCACCAGTTTGAATGATGGCATGATGGTGGTGTTGCTGAATGTCAGCGTTCATATCTGAAGCTCTGTCCAGCTGGAACTGGGAACTTGGGGAACACTGCTCTGGAACAGCCCTCACCTGGATGCAAAAGGAGGCGAGTGAAGAGTATGTGGATGTTTGTTCTTCCCCGGCTACTATACTCATGACACTGCTCAGTTTTAACCATCTGGTGTCAAGAGACAGATCTTACCTAATTCCCCACCCCGACCCCACCACAGCAACGAAGCTGTATACTGGTGACTCTCTAAGGGACTTTCTTCTGCCATTATTTCCTAAGTAGTTAGTGGGCATCAAGATTCTAACACAGGAAGGGACTGCTTGCCAACTTAGTGAGACAGAATGACCACCACTAGGATTCTCTGGAAAGGGGAGAAGGAACCAAAGAAGGTAGATCAGTGACCGGAAAAAAAAAATCCCCACAAAGTCATCTTCACAGACCATTCTGAGATGAGAAGGAAGGAAAGAGCAGAATTCAGGGTCAGGAGATGTTTGGAAGTGGCGATATGTAAGGAGAGTGGCCAGCTTGCTCAAGTTTGTGGTGCCCCTAACTTAGTGGGGGGCGGAGGGTAAGGAAACTAAGCTCCCAAACTTTGGGTACACAATGAGAGCCCAGCTCCAGCATGGTAAATGTTAAGTCAGCAGAGGCCTATGCCTCTTGGAATCAGAACCCTTCAGAACTGCAAAGAACTCTGATGGTTTTTTTTTTTTTACAAAGAAGTGAATCGTGACGCTCCTAGAAAGGAGATTCACAATTAACTTTCCATTATTCAGGCCTGATTGACCAATTAGTGGATGGCTTCCTCTTTCTGTATCTCCACCTCTCCCGCGGCCTTCCTTCAGCTGCCTCCCAAGCATGTCATTAGCACCTCCGCCAGGGGCTGCCAAATAGTAACAATAGTAATAATCCAGGACCCTGGCTAGGGACAAGCTCAAAATTAGTATATAGAAGGAAGATCATGTGTCATCAAATTTGTGGATGTCATTTGCACGTGTTAGTTTCAAACTCAGAGATCATTTCCTTTCTTGGGATTCTGGGACCATTTGAAAGGCAACATCCTGTCCAATCTGTGGTTTCTAAGAACTGTGATGACATGCAGTGACCCGCACAGAGACACCTGGCTGCGTTACTCATTTAACTTTTGCCCAACACTTGATTGAGGAGACTTTGGTATGAATGTTGGAGCCAACTTCTTCATCTATCCCATCATTATTTCCTGGGCACCTGCATGTGCCAAATCCAGGAGCTGCTCTATGAACAGCAACAAAGAAAGCAAGGAAGAGAATCAACCACTAAAAAAGGCAGATGAGGGGAATTTCAACAGCAGGAGAGAAATACAGCAGAGCGAGGGGGACCCGAGTGTGTTGGGACGCTGACTGCGGATGAATGGAGCAATCAGCATGGATCTAGTGGATCAGGGGGCAGCTGAGAGACAAGAGTGAAGACCCTGAGGACAGGAACTTGTCTGGCTGTATTTGAGGGGCATTGAAGAGGCAAAGAGGCTGCTATGGGGTATGTGTGTAAGTGTGTGTGTGTGCGTGTAATGGCACAAATTGTTAAAGATGAGATCAGAGAAGTCAAAAGTTGGGAGAGGTCTTAGGTCGTAGCATTTCTAGAACATTCTGTGATGGCAGAAATGTTCTGCAGTTGTGCCGTGTAACATAGACAGTGACTGGTGGCCACACGTGGTTGCCTGAGCCCTTATACGTGGCTCCTGGGAGTGAGGAACAGAATTTCCATTTCATGAAGTTGTAATTGATTTAAATCAAAACAGCTGCATGTGGTTTGGGAGTGTTGTGTAACACAAGGGGTGGACAGGCTGAATCCAGTTTTGCAGTATGGGCTGAGCTGCTACACTGAGAAGGCAGAAGGACAGAAGCAGGGGTGACTCCCACAGCCTCCCATCCTGGGCAGCGTGGTACTCCCAGGAAATCAGCTCAGAACCAGAATTAGAAACTTTGAAAGAGGGCAAGTGAGGGAGAGGACACTTGTGGGTCATTCTCTATGCTTGGCCAGAACTTGGTGTTAGGCTAATATTAACCAAAACTTCCAGCAGGTGTGGCTCAACAGATACGTCTCACAATCAAAACCACCACCACCAAAAAACCACCAGGCTCAGGAAGTGAACCCCCTGGGCCAGACCCTTAGTGGTAAGGACAGAATTTGAAGCCACCTCCTCTTGGCTCAAAAACAAGACCACTTTTTTTTTTTCCTTTCTCTACCATCATGATCCCTTCCAGGAAAAAAAAAAGTTTAAAGCCTGATAAAAAGAATTAGGTCACAATGAGCTGGGTCCTACTGGCAAGGAAGCTGTGCTTGCTCTCTGCTGGAAGGCAAAGCTAGCCTTTTCCACAGAAGGAAAAGGGTCCCTCCATCACAGGCTCCAAAACGAACCCCCGAAGAGGGACCAATTTCCTTCTTCCTGGCAGGATAAAATGGGAAAGTATTCCCGGAGGCAGGGTGCCTGGTGCTTCTTGTACCCATGTTTTGCCGTAGGAAATTAAACCTGATGGAAGCTGTGCGGTAATGAAATGGCATTTTCCAGGACGGATATTATCACACCGTGATTCTGCAGGGCTGTGCTGAAAACAACACAGCTCACCCAGAGTGGCACGGGAGACCTCCGCCTAACCCGGCCAAGGAGTGCGGGGTGGGTCGGGGGAACCGATGGGTTAGCTGGCAAGTTCATCTCTGTATTTCCTTAGGCAGACTTGTTGAAGTCTGGGAGGGCAAACTTGCCACATCTCCCTTTTCTGATCTGAAATCTCTCACTCAGCCTAAGAAGACTGCACACAAAGCAGGACATTTGGGCTGCGGAGCAGAAATGCAAACACAATTCATACTCGCTTGCTAGGAATTTTCTTGGTTCACTGCCCAGAAGTTTTTTCCCTGGGAGTCCATGAGTTGAAATCAGGGTGAGGCTGTTAAACTTCAGGTGCGAGCTGCAGAAGAAAGAAGCAAAGGGAGAAAGAACAAAAGCGGTTAAGCATGATGCAGCGAAAGGGTTTTTAAAATGATTATATTTCAATGTAACTTTCCTTCTTGTGTAGTCCAACATTTGCATTTTTTCTTCTTCGAGACTAGAAATCTTTCCACAAACCTTCAGACAGAACCGAATGTTCAAATGAAGAAAGGAAGATTATTATACTGATGTTGCAAATTGTAGAAACTTCTAGAAGCTTAGGGCAGACACTAACTTTTTTTTTTTAATTTGCTTTTCAAAGTAAAACAAAACTAAACCCACATATTTGGATGAGTGAGGTAAATGTGGTATAAATTAATGCAAAGTTTGAATTTCAGGCCATTTTCTAAGAAACTACTTTGATCACAATCATCACGGATAACCCTTGTGCACATCCTCCTATATACTTGAAATAGTCTCTAGACTCCTTACAATACTTGAATCAGTGTCAATTCTATTGCACAAGTGGCTGTTAGGCTGTATCATTTAAGGACTCACAACAAAAACATCTGTGCATATTCAGTACAGACGTTGCTTTTTTTTTTAACTAAATACTTCTCATCTGCAGTTGAACTCGCAGCAATGTTAAAGTCATGGGAAGGCTAAGTGCTCTGTAGACCCTGAACAGTCGAGAGGCTTCCATTGACTAAGTCCATTGGCCAATGGCAGCCTCAATACTTTCAGATGCACTCAAATCAGGACAGCAAACTAGAATATTCTACAAGATTCCTTTCCATTCACTTTGGGCTTTCCAGAGCCTGTGGCACCTTGGTTAGCATTATTATAGAGATAGATCTTCAGGACGGTTCATGCCAGGCAGAGGGGGTGGCAGTTAGGGAAATCAGAATTAGAAACTGAAGATTGATTCGTTCATGAGCAGAGTGGTCAGAAATTATATCCATGACTTCTGACCCTGAGCTGTTCCTTCTCTACTCATCATGCAGCCCTCTCTGACCAGACCTACAAGCAACTTTCATGTGCATGCCCAGCCTGAAGATGGCACGTGTTTCAGACTTCAAACACTCCTGTTCAAAACACTCCTGCTGCACATCTTCCCCTTACTTGTAGTTGGCACAATTTTTTTGGGTGAGCTGATCTTCTCAGAGGGTCCTGGCTGCTGAGATTATTTCCCCCACTAAAACCTCTTCTTAATTCACACGTCCTCTCCAACCCACCAAATCCCAAAGAGGACGCCTTCGCCAAGTCAGTGGAGAACACCTGCCCCGTCCCTGTGAAAAGACTGGAAAATCTCCAATTGTGGAGATGCTATCAATTTACTGACAGTCCATTAAGTAGCACTAAAAGCAGGAGACTTCTGATGATGGCTCCGGGGCTGGCCATGCATTAAACCCACTGCACCTGACATTTAAAAATAGCTAAATATTATGAAAGGTTTTTGCTTTAAAGTCTCAAAGGATGGGTATCTTTTAAGAATGAACATTCTTATTTGATATGAATAAAACCAAGCACATCTTATCCCCTGACAACAAGAATTAAACATTTTTTAATATCTTCCAACAGCCTAAAGGTCACAATCAACCCCAGCTACTTGTGATGGCCAGTCTGAAAGTGCACACTGGTGACAGGCTTTTGGTTTGTGATCATTTAATAAAAGATACAAATAAGAACAACACAACATATGTCTATACTTGAATGCAATTAAAATTTGTTCTGGCTTTCCAGCTTATGTGATTGAAAAGTGATTTACTTCGTCTTCATAGTTTGTTGTTTTAAGATTTAGTAATTTACTTATTTAAGGGGGTGACAGAGAGGAGACACACACACACACACACACACACACATATACACACAATTTTCCATCTGAGGTTTTCCAAATGGCTACAACATCCAAGTACTTGCACCATCATCTGCTACCTTCCCAGGAGTGTTACAGGAAGTTGGACTGGAAATGAAGCAATGGGACTTGACCCAGAGCTCTGGAATGGGATGTTAGCGGTGCAAGCAGTGGGTTAACTAGCTGTGACACAAAGGTTGGCTTCTAATAATAATCTTACCAGCTCTCTTTACATCTCTATTTGAGAAGAAGGCTCAATGGTTCTCCCATTATGCCCTTATGTATCTTATTCCCTTCATACTAAATATCTGAATTATCTAACAACACGGATCAAATGACCTGTCAATTGCCAAATTACCATGCTGTGGTATCCTGAATTATCTTGCTGCACAATTAAAAATTTCCCAAAAGACAGAGCTGGATATTCTTTATTTGTACCACCTTTAATAATATATTACAGAGGGTTTTTGTTTTTGTGGAGAGGAGGCATTTTCTGGATTTTTCTATGTAAAAGCAGCACTCTCCTACCTTTTCCCTTAGCCCTAATCCAATTCCCTTTGCACTCTTCACGGTGGTATTCTGGCCCTATACCCAATCTTCAGGTTCCTGATGGTAACACTTCTTGTTCTCACGACTAGTTTCCTCCCTCATTCCAAGTGAGTGCATCTTGCACATCACAAGCAAAACAGGGCAGCCACCAGCCCTGGTCAACTTCCTCGCTTGTCACGCCAGGAGGCATCTGCAAAGAGTGTCATTCCATCCTGGTCTCACACGTTTACCTGCCTGCTCTTTGAGCCCCCTCTTGGGTCTCCCTTGATCTCCAGTCAAGTGCCAATAAGCTGGGTACGTGCCATCCACAGGGGCCATGGCCATGCTTTTCTGCTTCAAGGTCACCTCAGGCCTAGGGTGGCTCCTGGCACCACATTGCAGGAAGGAGAAATGGGTAGAAAGGGCTGCCTGTTAATGACCTCCTCTGAGAGTCTCATGGGACATTTCTCTTTACATTGCCAGAATTCAGTGATGGGGTTACACGTAGCAGCAAGGGAGACTGGGGAGAAGGTAGTTTTTCAAAGAAAAAAGTGAAAACTTTGTCAAAGAACCACCAGGGACAAAATGCAGAAGAGACACTTGGAAGCAAGTCCAAGACATTACTTATGTTGACTCACAAAAGAAAGGAGGGATGGGAATGTGAGAGCATCCTCATAATGAGGATCCAGGCTGCAGACTCCACAGGGCTCCAGGTTCTCTCCCATGCAGGGAACAGGGGTTCTCCACCACGGTGGGATGCCACTACTAACCCTAACCATGCATGGAGGAAAGGGGCAGAGCAGGGTCATGGATGGAGTAAGCCTCCTCCAGGAGCTGTGGTCATCGAATGAGCTAAGACAACAGTGTGTTCAGGTTTCCTGTATGTTCTCACACAGCACCATACCGTAGCTGATTGTCACGTGCATTCTAACCGGCCTGCTCCACAGACGTCCAGCCTGACAGGTGCGTGTCCAGGCAACGCTCTGGGGTAGCGCTAGCCCACTTCTCCTCTTTCTCTCTGGCAAAGTCATGGCCAATGAACCACCTCTTAAGCTAGGGATCTGCAAGTCCATCTCAGATGCGAACTCTCTCTCCCTCTACCCACGCAGGGCATTGTGTCCACTCACCCGGCCCTGGCCTCTTTGTCCTTCAGTGCCCATTTCCCACCCGCCTCCCAGGGCACAGAACCTGAGCTCAGCATCTGGACTAGAAAAACAACCTCAGGGGTAGTTTCTGTGGCACAAGTGTTTCTCTTTTGTCCTGTTCCACACCTCTAGATGCCACTTCTTCCATGAAAGCAAATCTCAGTAGCTCCTCGTCTTGAAATCCCCGCCTTTTACTCACTGTAGTGATATCAGAATATAGTGGTTAAGGTGAAGGGCTTGGGAGTCACTTGACTGAGTTAGTTAAGCTCCCTGTTTCTGTTTCCTAGCCTATGAATTGAGGATGATAGAACGTCACATCTCCTGCGGTGCTGTAGAGACAACACAGAAGCACACATATTGTTCAGAAGCAGCAGATTTCTGATGAATATGAACTATTTTTATAACCAAAATGTTAAGTCCAAATATACTAGCTTGGCATTCAGGGTCATAAAAGTTGGGGCCTAACCTGTGCTTCTCCCAAACCCCAACCTTCTTTGTAACACATAATATAAAATATATCACATGCTATTTATATGTTATATAATACATTACAATATCTTACATAATATAAATTATACACCTCAATCCTTACATCTAAGTGCAGCTAAGAGCATCTGCTCTGAAACTGTAGGGTTTCGGTAATTCAGTCTAACTGTTCTGAGGATCAAATATGGAGATGAAATTATTTTTAAGATTTTTAAATGCGGATGACTTAGGAATAGTCACCAAGTTCCTGCAAGTGGATCACAGAACACAGTATGGGTCCAAGCAGGCATCCCAGGCAAGGCCAGGGTCGGCTGCCCAGCAGGACGCACAAGGCTCTCGGATCTGGTGGTGCCGGCTTCATGTACACGAGCAGTTTCTAGCATCAGCATGAACCCTCAGCTCCAAAAGCAAAGGTCACTGTTACCGTGGAAAATAAAAAAAAAAAAAAAAAGGTTCGAGTTAAGTGCTCAAGCCAATGAAACATTAAACAAGTGCACCTGCATTTTCACAGTAAATAATTCCAGTGGGGATTTCACGTTGCTGTGGCTACAAAGGGAGGAACAGCTCGGAGATACTTGGAGAGTGGTGGAGGATTAGAGTATCCAGGGAAATAAGCAAAAGGGATTGTATTTCACTGCAGGCTTCTCAGGGCCAAACAGCCTTACCCTCCACACACGGAGGATCCCACTGCCAAACTGCTGTGAACAAGATAAAAAAAAGAAACTAAAAACTTCACACGGTTCACCCTACATGTAAAACTAGCTCAGTCAGCTTGCTCAACGATCGCTCATCATCATCATTATTGCTGATAGTTTTGGCATAGTAGGGGCAACCTAAAACTGTAGAATTTAATTCACTGCTTTTATTTAAGCAAATTATATAGAGAAAAAAGAGTAACTCCATGTTGATCTCAATGTACTCAACTAAGCCTCTGCTAACAGAATGGTGCAAAACGGTGACAGAAAAAATGTTTGCCAGATGACAGCAAATCCTAACTCAGGATAGATATTTGGCCTAACTGCATAT